CATTTTCGCCGTAAAACTTTCTAAAACCTCAACAGAAAACTTTAGAACGCTGAGAGTAATACCAACGAATACAGAGAAAAGATGCAGCAGATGATTGCAACCGCTTCATATCTTACAACTGATTATTTAGACACTGAAGAAATCTGGTTAAGAAAATTTTGAACCTTGTAGACAGTAACAAAGTTCATTGAAAGTTTTCTTAATTAATATCGATAAATACTTTTACAAAAACCATCTTTAATTGTGGTTAAATTACCAAAAAACGATTTGTAACAAAAAAGAAAGTGTAAAAATAGATTATTCAAAGCCAAAGAAACTAAATCCTTCTACAAGATGACATTGGAATTGTTTTGTATGATCGCTCACTGCGACATAAAATACAACAAACAACCGAAGAATAATGTCTACTGAAACTCGTAATTCTTCAAGAATACTCTCAATAAAACCTTCTTCCTTGTAAAGAAATGCAAAAAAAAATTACTGAGAAATAAAAGGAATTAACAAGCAGAAGGATTCTGGAGCAACGTTTAGTAGAAATTGATTTTCGGAATGCATCGTTCAGACGTGACAGTAGGCGTTCGATCAATTAGTAGAAGCAAACCTTAGTTGCTGATTGGTTGCCAAATACTCGCTAGCTTATTGATCATTTTTGCCAGCTAGAACTAAATACTCATTTGTTCAATGTTTCACTTATATAGGTTTGGAAGATAGATTGATATCCTATGCTTAATCTGTCCTACAATGTTCAATGAGTATAAAAAACCAATAGTTTTGGGTAAGCAAATTTTTACAGTACATTCATTATACAGGCTTCTGAAGTAGCGTCTGTAACTTATGCATATTATTCTATAAAAAATGTTTTTCTTAGATAAACGTATAAAACAATATGCAACCAATTCAGTTACAGAATTGGATTTAAAAAATGGCCCAAAAAATTGTTGACAAATTAATGTACCGCAGAAAAACTACAAATTTTAGGAAAAAAAGAATTATTTCTAAAATTTTGATAAGCTTTTGCAGTAAAAATGAGGTTTCACTTAAGTCAGTTAAGTCATACAGGCAAGTGCTTTACTATTTTCCAGGTGTTGTACTAGGTTTCTGAACACTTGGAGAACAAATAAGGCTAGCAATAACAAAGCTAACAGATGAAGCAGCATCAACTGTAGTTGTACCACGTCAAAGCTTCTGAGAGGATTTCCCTCACTGCATTAGGATTTCCCTCACTGCAGCCATGTGATTTTCCTTGTCTATCAACCATA